TTAAGTATTTCAGGGTTTTGGGCCATTCACACGCATCTGGAATCTCACCAAAATTATTTTGGCTAATGTCTAAGATAACTAGGTTTCTTAGATGAGACAAACTTTTACCCGTCATTTCTAAGTCAGTCAGTGAATTCTGACTTAAATTTAGAGTTTGTAGTGAGGGCCAACCATCCTGACAGGCCGAATGCTCCAAGCTCTGGTCTCCAAGCAAATTTGCACTAAGGTCAAGATACTCTAATGATAGAAGGTGTTGCGAAAGGCTGCATGGTACCAGAAAGACTTTGGTGTTTTGAACAGTGACCTTGGTAAGAGGAGATAGTAGACTTTCCACAGCCTTAAGATCTGTAAACAAATAAAATTCTTCTATAGATAATGTCTCTATTGTCAGAACTCTAAGAGTCTGTGATTGGTTTGCGTGAATTTGTATTTTCCATCGTCCAGTTCCTGACAGTCTACAGTCTATCATCTCCAACTCCACTAATTTTGGCATGTCTTCTAAAATGCTGACAATCTCAGGCACAGTAGCATCTGCTAGCAAGACCTGTCTAAAAGTAATTTTCTTTGCAAAAGAAGATGACATGACTGTCAATAGTTGCATTTCAGCAGGTACACTGAACTCTATTTTTCTCACTTCTAACCAAATGACAGAATGCACAAGGTCCCTCACAATTGCTGAGAATGCAGAAATATTTCTTAGGTTTATGATCATGTGATCTATCTTCTTAATTGGTTTCAGACTTCCTGGCTCGTACCAACTGAGATTGCCACCGTCAATCCACAACTTGTCGAGAACCGCAACACCCTCAAAGTTTCCTTGCCTTATCGTGGAGAACCATGGGTTGCCCAGGTGGAGAGAGCTCAGGTTCCTCAGCTTAGAAAAGGGAGAGCTTTCCCCCAGGTCTCTGTAGGAGTTCCCTTGAAGGTGGAGATGCTGGAGTGAGAAAAGGTGCCCAAACCATGCAGGGGACAAGTGAGCCAAGCTGTTATTTGATAAGTCCAAGAGCTCCAGTTTCCCAAGGGAGCGAAACGAGTCCTCATCTATTGAGCTGATTTCATTGGACTGCAGCAGCAGAGCTCTCAAGTTCACAGCCTGCTGCAGATCCTGGGATCGGATGTGCTCTATCCTGTTGTGGGCCAGGTTTAACACCGTGATTTTGCCCGTGAGCCCTGAGGGAATAAAGTTCAAGCCCATGGAAGAGCAGTTGCAAAGCTGAGTGGCATCACATGAAGGACAAGCCTGCTTCAGTGCTTGCTCTTCAGAGAGGTTTGCAGCTAAGACCAGGTAGATGGCCCATGCTCGCCAGGTGTCTATAGTCATTATTTTGCCTAAAATATGAAACATAGTCAGAGCAAATATAAGATGAAGAGTCAGTTTTGAAGAAGCTACATTTTGGATATAGCTAAAACATAACTCTTACTGTTCTGTAGAAGGTATTACAAATATATTTGGTTTTGACACTGTTCAGAGATGAAACAATAGTCAAAATAAGGTGCATTGTACATAAACATTCCAAAATCATTTGATAAACGCCAATCATATTAAGTTTACTCTTTTTTTCCCTGTATCTTCTAGTTTTGGAATGAGGACTATCAAATCAATTAACAGTACATAAATCTTTTGCAGATTCAGCTAAACATCTGAATAATCGCAACATTATTACTAATCTGATCCTTCTCCTGTTTAGGAAATAATCCCCATATATCCCCCCTCAGTCCCACCTTAGTTCTTTTTCTTCTGAATCTGTGAATATTGTTTCGTATAGTCATTTTTTACTATAGGGAGTCTCTTGTATGTGTTTCGAATCCTAGTTACATCAAGAAGAGTCGATGTCTTGCAGGAGGTAGCAACGTTCACATTTAATACTCATTTCAAGCATATGTCTAATCTCAGTTCTGACAACAGGGAGAAGAGAGTTGCATGTGTTTCAGTCCCTTTCCTCATTTTATCTGCCTTTGGCTATTCTGATTGTAAATGCACTAGGAGCAGGGAAATCAATATTTGCCTGGATGTCTGTGAAGGCCATCATTATCATGTTGCAATCAGGCCAATATTCGTTAACGAAACTTAAGCTGGGAAAATCAACCATTGTCACCTACTGACTCTTAGCTCTTGCTTTTTACTGCCACATCCTTCTCCTCTGCCAGTGGCTTTTTCCACTTTGGGTCTCTGTGGCTGAGAGAAGTTCAGGTCCAGCCATGAGGAAGAGCCAGGGACTTTCGGAGCCTCCCGCAAATCAGTTGGTTGGGCTAGGTCAGCTTTTTCCAGCCCTCAGCCTGTTCCTCATCTTCTGGACTGAAATGATTCAAGACAAGCCACGCAGCTGTGGATCCTGTGTCACTTCTCTTTCCTCTCACAGTTGTGCCTTTCATAGTACTGATTTGACATGGCTTGTTGCGTTACAGAGCTTGCTGCAATATCCAGCCCATCCTTACTCCCAACAAAGTGACTTTAGTTCTTCTGTCTCTCTGAGGAGTTGGAAAAAATTCTTGAAGCCTGTAAAGGCTGTTTTCCCTTCAAAACTCTTATTACATGTTGAATTATAACCCTTTTTTTTTTTGGTTTATGCTTTCTTGGAAAGGATCAAAGAGCACTTTTAAAGCACAACTTTCCCCAGTGTGTCACAAAACCCCTGGGAGGTAGGTATCTTACTGACAGTGAAAAGAGTGAGCCAACCCAAAGAGGCCAATGAACAGGTTTCCAAAGATCTTCACGGGCTCTGTATCAGGTTACTTGGGTTAGCTTGTCTCACTGAGAAGTACTTTCTCCTTCAGTCATCCCACTGAGACTGGGCAAAAGATCTATTGTACTTGGAATTCATACTGTGATTTGTTTTACAATAGTTGACCCATGCAGACAAGTTCATACAGACAAGTCCTATCCTTCTACCTGCATTGCTTTTAGCCAGAGGCTTAAAATTATTCAAAAGTGGCAGAATTACCTGAGATTGTTTCAATGTGTGGGGAGAGAAGGAAAAGTTGTGGAAAATTTTTTCAATCATTCCATTTCTTCCCACCTGAAGGACTATAAACATTTTGACCTCTTGCATTATTTTCCTTTAATCTCTATCTCTCTCTGATGTAGAGCTTTGAATCTTGAAGGACACAGTCCTCTCCTGTCTTTAGATGTCCACAGCTGAGCTGGTCATCCATCACAGTCTCCAAAGTCAATGGAGAGAAATAACTTCTAGAGGCAATTCACATCATGTCTCTTGGACACCTACATTAAGATGTGATGACTCCTAAAGAAATGACCCCATCGACTTAAAATGGAACATCACAGTTTAGATATCTAGATATCTGGCCATGTGAATCCCATCCAAAGAATTGCCATCTGTAGTCACACTCACCTGCTGTCCGGCTGAGGCTCTTTCGCGGGACTTTTTGGGTTCTGCAAGTCTGGCTGGATAACACAGTGCTGTAGGCCATAGGAGCAAAGCTATGAGTAAGATCAGTTTCATAAGCAACAAATTGAAGTGGAATTTTTAAAGTTGCCATAAAAATGCTTACTGTCACAAAAAGGAACAAACAGGTAATACAACCAATCAAAATCTATCTTTAGGTAGGTTATTTACAGATGGAAAATTGGCAGCACAGAAGGGAACTCAGCAGGTACTGCATGGGAAATACTGACTGAACCTATCAGCTCTCCACCTTACCAGCCTGAAATCAACCAGGGACTGCAGGACTGAACCCTATTTGGTGGTACAGGATGCTTTTCTTTATTGTCACTTCCCTGATCATCCTTTCCAGGTCTTTTGGCTCATCTGTAATGTGAGCAGACACTCAGGTAAATCCCATTCCCACCCTCATTCATTTTCAGCCATTCTCTTCCCCTTCCCATTCCTGTCTGAAAACTCGTCTGAAGACCCTGACTTACAGGGTCGTTTCAGGCCTCTCTGCACCCACTCAGAAATATTGCCCTAGTCCTTGCCTTACCAAGGAATCACTTTTCCCCATTGTGCTCGGGAGGAAAAAAGCCACTGTCGTGGTTTTAGGCTGATCCGGCAACTAAAACTCACACAGTCTCTCCTTCTCCAGTAAAGTAGAGAGGAGAGAAAAAAAAAACCAAAGGGACTGAGGGTTGAGACAAGAACAGAGGGAGCACCCACCAACCATGGTCCTGGGCAAAACAGACAGGGCTTTCTCAAAGCAAAACAGTTTATTAGTGATTACTTAGAAGGACAACGGGAAACAAAACCGATTACTCGAGAGGAAAGAAAGAAACAAAACCAGATCTTAAAACCGA